TCATTTTCTGCTCTCCAGGATTTGAACAAGGTACTATGATAGTAAAACTGGAGTAGAGTGGTTTGGGGGTTTACTGTAGATAGCAGATTAGGAAAAGCCTCTCTGAAGAGGTAACACTTAAGCTGAGACCTAAAAGATAGGAAGGAGCCAGCTGGGCATGATACTCCAATCATGGAAGAGTCATTGTAAAATTTCTGAGGTGGAAAAATCTTGGCATTCCCTAGGACCTGAAGGGAAGACAGATGGCTGGAGTGTGGTGAGTATGTGTGGTATGACTTGAATGAGGGATAGTATAAAATGAGATTATAAATGCCAGTAGGATCCAGATGATGTAGAATTTGGTACTGTGTTAAGTACATAATTTATACTATCATATTTAATCCTATCAGGAACCTTCTGAGGTAACCTTGGCATGGTTAGTTCTAATAGGATGGTATAGATTTAAACAAAAGCAGTCGTAAGTAAGTTGAGGAATGAGCGGGAGGTGAATATATGCAGACCAAGGAATAGTGGTTTTATGTAAACCTAACTCAGAGTATCTCGCATTTTCCAGTGGTCCCGCCAACTTAATAACCTGGCAGAATCTTGCCATTATTGGGCTGTGGCATAGGCCATGGCATGACTAAATTGGTCTACCAAGTGGTCGGCTGGGCCAGCAGAATCTGTTACTTCTGTCATTACCTGAGACTGGTTGGAGTTAACTGTTCCTAGACACTCATGTCCAAGGACACTTTCTTTCATCATCTAGCACTCTCCATGTGGTTCTTGGAGGGGAAAATTAGTTATCTTGTGTCTGGAAAGAGTTTGGAAAAAAGAGGCAGATTATTGCTGATTGTAGTTCAGAGTTTGCCATGTTAGTGAGAACTCTGTTAACTGCAATGGAAATTGCAGTCAAAGTTTATCACCCTAGCTTAAGTTTATGTATTTTTATTAAAGTTTTTAAACATACAGAAAATTTGAAAGGATTTTATGGTGAACAACCATATAATTACCACCTGGAATTTACCATTGATTTTATTATACTTGTTTTACCACGTATCTATCCATATACTCATCATTCTATTTGTCCATCAATGTATCTTATATTATTGATATATTTGAAAGTAAAATACAAACATTTATGTAGTGTCTCCTGAATACTTCAACATGTGTATCAGCAACTCAAGTTCAATATGTTTGTTTTTTTCTGAGTTTCTTTGAGTTTTGACAACTGCATGTACCTAAACATTACCCTCATGTCCTTCCCCAGTCAGTCCCTATCCCCACCTCTCAGGAAAACACTGCTGGGTTTTTTTCATCATAGATTTAATTTGCCTATCTAGAATTTTATATAATGGTGCTGTCTAGAATTTTATGTAATGGAATCAGACATATATATTCTTTTGTGTAAGACTTTTTCGCTCAGACAAATATTTTTAGATTCATCTATGTTGTTGCATGTGTTTGTGTTGAGTATGTTGGAAAACCTAAAAGGAAATTTTGCCAGAGTTCATTCCATTATATTGAATATATCAGTTTCTCCATTTTCCTATTGAAAGTCATGCTGGCTGTTATCAGCTTTTGGCTATTATGAATAAAGCTGCTAAAAAATGTTTTTATACAAGTCTTTTGGTGGATCTATGATTTTGTTTGTCATGACTAAATGCTTCGAACTAGGACTGAAATTGCTGAGTCATACTTTAAGGGGAAACATAAATCTAGGGAACCACGGGTTGAAATTTTAGACAGAGTGCACTAGAGAGGTTTCACTGAAAAAGTAAATTTTCAGAAAAGACCTGAAGGAGCAATAAGGATGTGAGCCACATAGGAATTTATAGGTCATTGTAAGGATGTGGCCTTTCAGAGGGTATTAAGCAATGATGTGATATGAGGTGAGTTATGTTTCAGGATTTTCACTCTACCAGTCATGTTCAGAACAGGCTATATGAGACAAGGATGGAACTGAGAAGACAAGTTAGGAATCTGTTGCAATAGTCATGTGAGTGATGATGGAGACTTGACTAAGGTTAGTGAAGTGGAGGCCATAGGGATTGATTCGAGTCCAGAAATATTTTGAAGGTAGAAGTGAAAGTACTGGCTGATGGATTGGACATTTGGTGTGAAGGAAAGAAGAGTCGGGGGTTACTCCTAAGTTTTATTGTTTGAATAATGATAACTGTAGAGTTTCCATTTTGGAGATGTGGAAAGATTAATATACAAAACTGAGTACATAGAAGAACAGCTTTAGGCATAATAATTTGAATAAACACTTGGATATATGAATCTGAAGTTGGTTAGAGCTGCAGTTATATATATGTGTGTGTGTGTGTATAAAATTAGGAGTTGTCAGCCTATTGATATTATATAAAGCCACATTAAAGAAATGTGTATAGGGGAGTATAGGGGGAGGAGAGAGAGAGAGAGAGAGAGAGAGAGAGAGAGAGAGAGAGAGTGAGAGAGAGAGAGAGAGAGAGAGAGAGAGAGAGAGAGAGAGAGAGAGAGAGAGAGAGAGAGAGAGAGCGTGAGCGCGAGCGCGCGCATGCACGAGAGAGAGAGAGAGAGATTGAGACCGAGATCCAACACATGCACGTGTCTTGGGTCACTAAAATTTAGCTATGATGGAACTGAGGAGGAACAAGAAAAGGACTATGAAGGAACTAGGAAATAGTGGATCATAGGGTAAAGACATGTTTAGTTAGTAGATATTGCCAACTTTTGGAAGTGATTGTACCAATTTTCACTTCTAGCATCAGTATTTGAGCATTCCATTTGCCTGAAACCCTTCATGGTATCTTTGTATCCTGTGGCTTACTTTTAATTTATTGTGAAAATCTATAGATATTTGTTTATAACTGTAAAATATAAGATATGTACAATTCATCATCTGTCTAAAACACCTTGGAGAATTACTTCTTTTTGTAGCAATATGTTCTCCTGCTACTGCTACCACTAATAGCAATCAATATTTATTTGGTGCTGGTTATTTACCAGACACTGTTCCATGAATTTTATATGTCATACTTTAATTGTCAACTCTATGTAGTAAGTACTACTATTATGCTTCTCATTTTATAGATGAAGAAATCAAGGCACTGAAAGGTTAAGTAACTTGACCAAGGTTGCAAATTGTGTAGGCGGCAGTATGAAGATTTGAATCCAGGCAGCCAGATTCATACTTGTGCTCTTTCTTATGTACTTTCCTGCCTCTCAAGAAGGAATTGTGAATGTGACAACGGTTTAATAAACCCTTGCTACTCTCAAAAAGATTTCCCTGTGTTGCCCCATTGTTGTTCTTCTCCAACTGATTTTGTTAAATCAGTAGAGAGAATCAATGTGAACTTCCTTACGGACAAGATGATTTACAGGTTGCCTGTTTTAAAATGTTCAAAATGTACCTTCTATGTAATAGAAACTATTTTAGGGTATTGCAATGTTGAAGTAACTTGTGAAATTAACATTACCAAAAAAAAAATAAGAGATAATTCCAACTCGATTCCTCTCCATGGCTGTTTTAGATTTTGAGCCTTATCAAGGTGACCGAGTGGAAGTTGCGTTTTCCATCGAGCCAGACATGCAGAGGAGAAAGGCCATCTCTGTGAAGCCTCTGAGACACAAACATGTGCATGAGGTAGTTTGTTTGCATGTTGCTCTTGCTATTTGTTTCTGCTTATCTTTCCTCTAGTGATAATGTTTGCTGCTCAGGATTCTATTGGGTGTGTTGGAAAACCTAAAGGGAGGCTTTGCCAAAGAGGAGTCTATTTTCTTATTGAAAAGGCTATGCTTCTGAAAGGAAAAATTAAAGAATAATATAGAACACAAATATAATTAAGATCTCAATTATGTAGTTTATTTGAGAAGTATTAAAATGTTTGAGAACAACAAGAACAGTAAACAAATTGTATTCAGGGGATTGTTGGGAAAGAATGAACAGAGTGGGTAATGGGATTAGAGGCTTACACTAAATGCTGGGTATGATTTGGATAGTGGAGATTGAAAATGAGTGGGAAATTCAGTCTGCACAAAGGTGCAGATGAAGCCTAGAATGTGGCAGAGGAAACAGGGGAAAATGATGTTCTATTTACTACCACATTCCTTTCTTACTAAACCCCTTTCACTCTCTCAACCTCAACTATAGAAATTAATGGACATTGTGTATTATACTTAGAGCAGGGTTTCTAATCCTAGACATGGGCCCCATCTGCAGAGATTCTAACTTAATTGGTATGAGATGGGGTCTGGACATGGGTAGTTTTACAAAGTGTTCCTGGTATTTCAAATGTGCCAGCCAGTTTGAGAATCACTAATTAGGAGTAATCTACAGATTAGAGCCTGACTGAGGAGATACAGACTCTGTTATAGTGTCTCAAGCTTTTCATAAATACTTCTATTATTTGTATTTACAGGCCTGCATTACAAGCCTACATGGAAGAAGTGGGGTGATAGATAATAGTATCTTCTTCACCTTGGATTCTCTGAAACTTACTGATGGATACATACCTCAAATATCTGACATTGTCAACGTGGTTGCAGTGGAGAGCATTCAGTCATGCTATATTTGGAGAGCAATTTCTATGACTTTAGTGAAAACATGTCAATAAGAAAACATTTTTATTGCCTATGCGGCTTTTCCTCTCTTGGCAGTAAAGGGCCTGATTTAAATGCTTTGAAAATAATAGCTTAGTAAAACTTAACGATGATTTTAAATATAACCTCTTAAATCCTGTGTGGTTTGGCTAAATGGAGTGTGTCTTCTGGAGAATGTTCAGTATTTTTTATTATTAGTTAAAGGTATTTTCATTTTAATACTTTATAATAATCTTCTTTAAGTGTCTCTGTTTATTTTTAAATTAATCTTCCTTTTTTTCACCTTTAGAACAGAGTTTCTAATCCTAGAAACTTTTTTTAGAATACATTGTGTATCATGGTTTTTTGTTTTTGTTTTTTTTTTAATATTTGAGTCTATGGTCATGCCACCCTGAACGTGCCCGATCTCGTCTGATTGCTGAAGCGAAGCAGGGTCGGGCCTGGTTAGTACTTGGATGGGAGACCACCTAGGAAGACCAGGTGCTGTAGGTGTAAAAAAAAAATTGAGTTTGCATTACAAGTCCAGTGGGAACCCAACCATCTAGTAATTAGTTCCCCACTTTATGGGTTTATAGTCGGAGTCAATATCCTCTAGACTTTAGGGATTCACTCATTGATTCACTTCAGAAATTGTGATTACCTTCAATGTACCAGGTGCTAGGATTATAGCCTGAATACAAAGGCCAAAATTCTGTGCCCTAATGGAACTTGTTTCTATTAATGCTTCTTAATGCATGGAATCATAGAATAGAAAGGGGCATGTGGAATGTGGTTTAGCTCTGGGTCCCTGTGAAAGTCATCAATCCAAAGCAGTACCACACCCTGTGGGAATCATAGAGAGGTCCACTACTAGACTTGACTCATGGATCAAGTCCAGTGTATTCTCCCATTGCATTCTCCCATTTGGTTGGTGTAGAAGACTGTTCTTTGAGACTGACTTGACAGTGGATTATCATAAACCTAATTGGGCAGTGATTCAATCCTAACTGCTGTTTCACAAACTTCTCACTGCAGTGAGTGAATCATGTCATTAGCTGGTATGCTGTGGTGGTTGGGTGGGGGTGTCAAATGATTTCCCTTCATCCTTTTGAATAGCAAATTCTAGAATCTGTTTGCTTTCATAGGACTGGCCTAGCACTGGTATACTTTGAACATGTTATCTCAAGGATATGTCGACTCTGAGTCTTTTTGCCATAATTTTGAATGCAGGCTCCTTGGTCATCTCACACTCATCAGGACATCACCCTAGTCTCTCCAAATGAATGATGTCATGGTTCTAAGACAGGGAAGCAGGGAGTAGAGGGCTGAGCTAGAAATGTGTTTTTCAGAAGGTGGGAAAAAAATTGCATGAAAATAGAGATACCTGTCACCACAAATTTCTGTAGCTCCAGTGTTCTGCAGTAGTACTTTCCAACTGGTGTGCTGGGAACAGGCTGCATGTGTGCTGATATACAGATTCCTCTCTCTTCATTTAGGGATAAGTGCAAAGAAGGAAAGAAAATAAGATAATTCTCTTAAACAGCATTGGCCAACTACAGCCCTTGGGCCAAATCTGACCTGAGCCTTTATTATTTTTAACAGCTTTATTGATATGTAATTTGCATAACATACAATTTAACCATTTAAAGTTAAAATTCAATGGTTTTAAATATATTTGCGTGGTAGGTAACTATCACCACAATTTTAATTTTAGAAAATTGTCACCCCCACTTGAAAACACCCCATATCAGAAATAAAAAATCAGATTGCATCTTTCACCTTTTTGATAAAGTAACTGATACATTCATTCCCTTTCTTGCATTTTAAAGTCAGCTCTTCAAGTGGTTTTGAAGCCCCATAAACAGAGACTCAACTGCGTTCAGTTGATCACACATATGGCATTAGATGTCACTTGTGATCTAAATTTCAATTATTTCCACTCAGATGTGCTGCCTAAATTTCTTAAATATGTTAACCAGTTGCTTACTGCAGTCTATCTTGAGCTCAAACTCAAGTGTCATAAAACAATTTTTTCACTTCCTACTTTGAGAACTGTATCTCGGTTCACTATATTCCATGTCCCAGTGAGTAAGATCAGCAAACTCTTCATCTAAAGAGGACGTGAATTGTTCATGCCGATATAGGGACAAGGCATAAGAACTGTATAAATAGACTAAATGTTAAACCAGAGCCTACAAAATGTTGCTGCCAGACCACTGGAAGCCTATAGAACAGGAAGATTCCGGGATTACTAACAAACTACCCACACCATGAAAGGAAAACAGTCTTTAAGTTGTACCCTATACAAAATAAACTCAACAATTCATTCCCTACGGGGAACCTAGAGAACAAAGGCTGAGATTACTAGCATGCTTTTCACTCTGCATACCCAACCTTTCACACTACATATCCATATCATCAAAGGAAAACAAGTAAACAAAGTCTTTAATCTATAATTCATATAACTAAGAATCACACATAAACTGAATTCCTTGAACACTTGGTGTCTCTCTATGTCTGTCTCTCTCTCTGTGTCTGTCTCTCTCGTTGAGATGAGACCATGCTCTGTCTATGGAGCATTATTACTTCTCTAATAAATTTTCCTCTGGTCTCTCTCATTCTATCTTTGAGATGAGACCATGCTCTGTCTATGGAGGGTTATTCCTTCTCTAATGTACTTTCCTTTTATCTCTAACTCCAGAGTGCACTTGAATTCTTTCCTGTGTGCAGTCAAGAACCTTCACCCTCTTCTCTTGGTGCAAGACTTGAGTCCCCAGTTTGGGGATTTGTCCTGTCCTGCATTCATGTTTTCCTTTTGATCTATTCTCCTTGATTCTGCTCACTCTTTTCTAGAATTTTAGCTCTATACTCTTTACAATTCCATGGTTGCCTATGAAAATCCCATCTATTTCAGGTTAAAGGGAAACATAAATGTGAAATAGAGACTTAGAATATCAGTTAGGAAAGTGTTTATTAGTTCCAAGTTCCATACATCACATGACTTCCCTATAATATGTAAGAGCACTATTTGTACTACATTAACCAGAAAGTATGACAAGGGCTCTAAAATCCTGGCTATTCAATGTAAGCATGGGACTGGGACTCTGCTGTCTGGGAATATAAAGAGAAAAATGATCATGACATTTGACTGTCCAGTATACTCACAACATTGGGCTAGGGACTTACATCCACTATCATTTAATCCTCAAAAGCACAGAGTTAAGGAGTACAGAGTTAGTAAACACAGGCATAGAAAAGTCAAGTGACTTTGTAAAGGACAGAGGCCTTTTACCCAATAGAACTGAGAATCATATTTTTGTTTGTCTATTTCCAAACTTATAAACTCAGTACAATTGATAAGAGGAAATTCTCTCTACAGGGTTCTAATGCTTTTCACTCATTCATCCAACAGCTATTTTTTAAATACCAGACTGGGTATCTGCTCCTAATGCAAAGGTGAAAAAAAGAGGCCATGGCTTAGACATCAATGACACTTTGGGGCTAATGGGAAGGGTGAATGTGATCATATAAATAACCATGAAAATAAAAATTATAATGGGCTAGCTATGAAGAATAGGCTGCTCTGAATGTGAGATAATAGCTGTTGTAAGGACTATGTTAGATTAAGTGTCAGGGAAGACCACTTGGGGAAGCCATATTTAAGCAGAAAAAGGAAGGATAAGTAGACATTTATTGAGCACAGAATTATGACTGGAAGAGATAGTTCTGAGGCACAAAAGAGCTTGGTGGATTTTAAAAAATTGAAAGACCTTGGGGTTGCCCAAGTGATTTGATTCAGCCAATGGAATGTAAGAGTATGTGATGTAAGTAAATGCTTCTGATGTTCTGGTGACCCACCAGGCCCCTTCATCTTAGGCCCAGAATGACAGCACATGGAGCTAATCTGAGTCTGGCCTGCAACATGGAGCCAAATCTAGGCAACTCACTTTTGAAACAGTCAAAAAATGGCAAACCCTAGTTCATGATCAATATGCAGAACTGTGAATGTACAAATAAATGGCTTGTTATTATAGGTCGCTGAGTTTGGGACATTTTTGTCGCAATACTAATATAGACATTTTACATAAAAAAATGACCACACACACACACACACACACGCTATCTGCTCTGTGCCAGGCTTGATTAAAGAAAGAACAGAAAATAATGACTAGGAGACTGTGCAAAGTGTAAACTTGATTATTAACTATAACAACACTGGATGATAGACAGGTCATAATTTTGTCACTGAATTTAAACCAGACTGCTATTATCAATTGTACTGCTCCAAGCTTTAAAATAGACCCATTACACAACATATTTCATATATTCTGCAAAATGATTTTACTTCAGATAAAAAAAGATAAGATAATTGTACAATGCAATGACAACAACAATAACAAAAAAAGAACTATGGACAAGCTACCACATACATGATCTGAATTTCCAGTTTAGAGAAGCCTCAGTCATTTCTAACACATTTTTTTTTCTTCACAGTCAACAAGATGCTGGCACTTAAAGGTATTACATTTATCCTTTATATATAGCCAGGAGATTTTTATGTTGCAGTAATGCTTCCCACTTCTTAAGGGCTTCTGGGAATCAAATCTTTCAACAGTGGGTTTTTACTACACACACTCTATTATGACGTTGAAGAACTAAGAGAGAAAATTACATTGATGTAGTTTGCCATTCGTTAATAATTGAACTGGTCTAACATCTAGAAACAATTTCATTGAAATGTACCTGCTAGCACTTAAGCATTGTAGCAAGAGAAGAATATAAATGCATTCGAATGAATTGTTTATTAAGTCTGTTCTGTAACTGGGACCTATAAATTAAACTGATAAAAGCAAGAGTAACAGGAAAAAATGCATATAATTAAAAATCAATTTTAATTATGTGTGCATGGAAGTTTCACAGAAAAGAAGTGAAACTCAAAGAAGCTGTTAGACTTGGAAGCTTATATACCATTTTAAGAAAGAGTGATAAATTGTGGAGAAGTGGCTAAACAAAGTAAAGGAGCATTGGGCTTCTAGGGGAAGTAAATTGTGGGAAGGTAAATATATGGGAAATTATGGAAGATAAGGGTAATTTTAGTAAGGTTTGTTTGTGCAGATTCCTCTTGATGCCATCTTTCCATGTCTAATGATTAAGACTTTGTATTAAGGTACTCAATTTTATCTTATGGCTATTTGGCTTTAGAATCACTTTTTAAAAATTTTATTTTATTATTAGTTTCAAGTATACAGTACATTGGTTATACATTTTTAAATTTTATTATTAGTTTCAAGTATATAATATATAGTTTCAAGTACATAGTTATACATTTATATAGTTCATAAAATGATCCCCCCAATTGCTCCCTCACTCCCCTGGCCCTCCACCTAGCCATCATATTAATGCTGACTGCATTCCCTATGCTGTGCACCCCATCCCTGTGACCACCTAAAAACTACTAATTTCTACTTCTTTAACCCTTCACCCATTTCTCCCAGCCCCCCAATCCACCTCCCCTCTGGCCGTCACCAGATTGTCCTCTATATTTGTGAGTCTGTTTTTGATTAGTTTCTTCTTTTTGTTCCTTAGGTTCCTCATATAAGTGAAATCATATGGTATTTATCTTTCTCTGTCTGACTTATTTCACTCACCAGATTAACCTCTAGGTCCATCCATGTCGTTGTGAGTGGTAGGAGTTCATTTTTTAAATGGCTGAGTAATATTCCATTGTATATGTGAACCATAACTTCTTTATCCAATTGTCTGTCAATGGGCATTTAGGTTACTGCCATATCTTGAACAGATATTTCTTCAAAGAGGAAATACAGATGGCCAATAGACATATGAAAAGATGCTCAAGGTCACTCATCGTCAGAGAAATGCAAATTAAAGCCACAATGAGAGATATCACATCACACTTGTCAGAATGGCTATCATCAGTAAATCAAAGAACAAGTGTTGGTGAGGATGTGAGAAAAAGGAACCCTCATACACTGTTGGTGGGATTGAAAATTGTTACAGCCACTATGGAAAACAGTCTGGAGTTTCCTCAAAAAATTAAAAATGGATTTACCCTTGACTCAGCAATTGTACTTCTGGGTATTTATAAAAAGAAAACCAAAACAATAATTCATAAAGATCTATGCACCCTTGTGTTCATGGCAGCACAATTTACAATAGAATCACTTTAACTATATGAAATACTATTTTCTATAGGGATTTATTGTCAAAGAATAATTCAAATACCAGAAAAATCTGGCTTCATACTCTGGCCAACAGAAATTTGTTTATGAACATTTCTTTTTTATGGACAAAACCAGAAATCAAGTTTATCATGTTACAGGTTCTCTCTTTCACACATGTATTTGAGTACAAGAATTTAGGCTTTTGTGGGACCTAACTTCATTGCATTTTTGTTAATGGTCTGCTAAGCAATTACCATGTCTCTGGGGCTTCCTATTGAAAGATTAGATGTAGGATTAGAGAACGAAGGGATTTTTTTCTGCTTCTGACATGATAATGAAGAAGAGAAAATTGGCTTTCTTTAATGTACTCCCAAAGATCGTATCACAAAACATTATCAACTTAAATACTGATACTAGTTGAGTGACTTCTTACTGAGTTATAAGTTTCTATTTAACCATGGATAATCATAATTTTCATAAAATCTAAAATATGTATTTATTAACACACCACTTTTTATTAAAAACAGTTATTAAATTGTTACACGGTTATTTGATGAAACTGGCACATGGGAAATGGCACATCGATCCTTAAAACTGATTTTTGTTTAATTTGGTTATTTGGCTCTTCCTATATCAATATTGGAGTCACTGAATAAAGTGACCTGACAACTGTAGGACCAGAAATAAAGTATACTGTGTTTTCTACACATAACTCTCAAGTTTAATTGTCAAAATTTCAGCGAAAATCATCATGAAAACAATATTAATATTGAAAGCATCTAAAAATACATTTAGTTTTTACTATTTTTAACCTTTGTTGTATTGTCTGCCAAGAACTGATCTTTAAATATTTCAATGCTTTAGTTCAGGCAAACAAAGATGAAAGGTCACTTTTCCCTCCTTCCCTAGGCAACAGTGCAGGTATTCTACTCATCTGCTCCTCCCTCCCAGTACCATGGCTAAAATGAACCATAGATGAGATTTAAAAATTCACAAATGTAGTGGGGAACAGCTGCAAAAAGTCAGGACACTGAATTAACATAGTTTAATTTCTGCTTACATTTTAAAGGAAAGCAAAGCAAGAAGCATCAGAAATACTACAAGCCAAGTTATTGCCATCTTAAAAAAAGAGAATAGATTTCAGCCAGGCACAAAGGTCTCCATGAAAACAGTGAACTTAAATCCTCATCAGCACCATTTTTGCAATATTTTATCAACAAAATATCCATCCCACTAGCCTGCTTAGCAAGTCCTAATTTTCTAATCTTCCATTTCTTTGCACTGAATTTGTATCTGGATCCTTAGCTACCTGTATCTCATCCTGAAAAATTATAAAATAATTTAAAAAGTAAGCTTAAGGCTTTGTTTCCTTGGTATTCAAGAAGAAGGGATAGATTCAAGAGTGCTTAGAGTTCATATTTAAAGCTAGTTTGATTTTATTTCAAAGATGGGCAGATGTTTAACAAACCTGAGCTTATTCAAATTATTTCATTTTTAAAATGAGATTGCAATTCAACAGAAGTAAAAAATGTGGTAAAATCTAACGAAGCAAAGGCTCACAGAAAAGAGAAATTGTTTGCATGCTGATTTAAAACTAGATTTTATATACTGATGTCTCCCCACATGCACACCTAGCATTATCATAATACCTCAAAGAATTCCTTTAAGTGTTCTTTTTAGCCAAGAGTTTATTTTAGCCTAGCCTATTTCAGAATCATAAATTCAACAAAAATATTTTAAACCCATTATCATGAACTGTGTACTAAATTGACTCCAGGTGCACGTTTTATAGCTAGATCGGAGGCAAGATATTTAACAAAGGTAACATACATGAATCAAAGTAATTAGGCTGCTGCATTAACAAAATGATACTGTAAAATTATTTTTTAATTCTATAGCAATATACAAATATAAATTTTTAGGATGATATTTGGTGTTCAAAGAAAACAGTAATAGTGCTCATTTGAAAAGACTTGTATTTAGTATTATTACCTCAAATAAGAACTAAACAAAATGACTTTTAAAAATTAGGTTTTGATTATAAAATAATGCAAGCTTAGTATAAAAGTATTTGAATAGTGTATACTTTTATAAAGAAAAAGTTCTTATTCCACACACTTCTAACCACAATCCCACTGTCCTTTTAATACAATTGTTCAACCAGTCCTAAATCATTTTCTGTGTTTTTGGTGATGATCAACTCTATTTTGCAATGGACATTAAACTATCAATTTTGCAAGACAGATTCATGAGTGTCTATATTTCCGGTTTTGGTGCATATCTAAGAAGATTTTCTGTTGCCTGCAAAATAGTCAGATGCTGCTGTCATGTAACCCCAGGGGGCATTATTCACCTAGAATGGGATATATGTGGTTGTTTATTTCAGAACTCACCTTGTACTCTCTGAGACTGTGTCCTTTGGAGTTGTGCAACTCAAGGTCCTGCTTAGAAGCTTTTACAATTTTTGTGTAACACTTCTCTTCCTAATTCTGAAAAAAAAATCATTGATATGCTTTCTGTTATGAGTTAAATTATGTGCCCTCCAAAATTCATATGTTGAAATCCTAACCCATAGTACTTCAGAATTTGACCTTATTTGGAAATAGAGTCATTGCAGATGTAATTAGTTAAAAACGACATCATTCTAGTAGGGTGGGCCCCTAATCCAATATGACTTGGAGTCCTTATAAAAAAGGAGAAATTAAAAAATATAAATAAATAAATAAACAAATAAATAAATAAATAAGAAGAAATTTGGATACATATATGTACACAGGGAAAATGCCATGTGAAGATGAAGGTAGAGATCAGGGTGATGCAACAGAAAATAAATGTGATGGTTAATTTTATGTGTGACCTTGACTGTGCCACCAGTACCGAGGTATTTGGCAATCATTATTCTAGGTGTGTCTGTGAGGGTGTTTTTTGAATGAGATTAACATTTGAATTGGTAGACTGTGTAAAGCAGAGTGCCCTTTCTAATGCAGGTGGACTCATTCCAAACAGTTGAAAGTCTCGAATAGAACAAAAGGGCTAACCTTCCTATGAATAAGAGGGAAGACTGGCTGCTTGAGCTAGGACATTGATTTTTTCTGGCTCCGGATTTGGACTGAAACATTGGCTTTTTGGGGGTCTTGAACATATGGCAATTTACACCATCAGCTCTCCTGGACTCAGACTAGAGCTACACGATTGGCTCTCCTGTGTTTCCAGCTTGCTGACTGCAGATCTTAGGACCTCTCGGCCTCCATAGCCAAATGAGCCAATTCTCTCTCTCTCTCTCTCTCTCTCTCTCTCTCTCTCATCTATCTATCTATCATCATCTATCATCTGTCATCTCTCTATCATCTATCATCTATCATGCATCATCCCTCTATCATCTATCATCTATCTATCTATCTATCTATCTATCTATCTATCTATCTATCTATCTATCTATCATCTATCTATATCTATCACTTATATCATCTATTGATTATCTATCTATCCTATTGGTTAAAAACAACCAAAATAAAACACGCACAAAAATAGTAAAATATTCATCCTAATGGTTCTGTTTCTCTGAAGGATGCTAATACACTAAGAAATGCCAGATATTGCCAGCAAACCACAAGAAGCTAGGAGAGAAGCAGGGAGCAGATTTCCCCTCACAGTTCTCAGAAAAAACTAACCTTTCTAATACCTTGATCTCAGACTTCTAGTCTCCAGAATTGTGATATAATTAATTTCTGTTTTTTTTTAATACACTGAGTTATTGGTAAACTAGTACACCTTCTGACACTAAAAATTGCAGAAGAGACTTAAAAAATCAGCCTGATATTTCCCCTGTTATAAAATGATTTTTAAATCATTTTTTAAAAATATATTATCCAGTTGAGAATTGTTGTAGGAATAACAATGACCCATAGATTAGCTCTTTGTTCTCTCCACATCTATTGCCTTCTTTTAGTGCCTTTTATTCCTTCGTCTTTTTAAAAATTTTATATTCTATTTCCTCATATTGGTCTTCTTTTTTCCTGCACTATCCATTCTGATTCCTGATGCTTCTAATGTGGTCTCATTTCAGCAATAGCTTTATTTTTTCCTATTTTTACATAAACTTTGCCAGCTCATTGTTGTCTATTTTTTTCCTTCTTTATCTTATCATTTCTTCTTTAGTTTTACTTTTTTCCCCATGACTTCATAATTTGAAATTTCTTAGTGCTGTTTGAGAAGAATATGGCTTTCTCTTACACTATCTGTGAATAATCCTTTTTTTCCTAGAATTATACTTTCTCTGCATTTTATAAATTGTACTAATGTGTTGTTTTCTTATTTCTTTGTTTCTTGCTTTTTTCAATAACATTGTGAAAGTTGACATAAGTAGAGACATTTTAAAATGGAGCCAGACAGCCATTCCAGATGACCTGCCTTACATGTCTTGCTCCTTGAACTTTTGGACTGTTTGAACTGGGCCAGACCTTTGGACTGTACCAAAGCAACTTTGCCTTACAAACAATTGTAAAGCCAGCAGGAAAGCAGACATGGTGACCACAGGGACTGATGATTATGGACTCTCTGTTTGAATATAGAATTAGTAATCAACCATGTATAGCTAAAGAGTAACTCACAGCTTGCTAGCACAAATAGAAATTTCTTCTATTCATGTAATTATTCCTTTTCTTTTCTCATAAAAACCCCATCATATTCACTCCATAATCAGGATATTATTTGGGTTTCTTCCTGAACCTGTGCTCCTTAAACTGCAATTCTTTGATCTAAAATAAATGCTTATTGCCTCTCATTTTCGCTTTTTAATTGTAGGTTAACAGTGTCAACCTACCACCTCATATTTAAAATTTTCTGCTTACTACTTGATTTGAAATACAGCAACCTTATCTCAATCTAACATTGCTCAATAACAGATTGGGGAGGGGAGGGTTGCAGAGTAGGAACAAAAAGAAGGCCACTGGTAGTTTAAAAATTATGATTCCCACCTTTGACTTTATTCCGTTTCCTTGGAGCTAGGATCTGTAGGGCTCTCTGCCTTTTTTGAATTCTCTTGTGCCTTCAGAACTCAGTGTTAAAATAAAGAACTCTGAGATATACCATGTATTTCTTCCTTTATTCTCTTCCTTTTTTCATTCCCACCTTTTCTTCTTTCTTTTAGTGAAATCTGCACATTATATAATATCTGAAAAGAGAAGTTAAAGCTCTGCCTTCTTTCTTTATATGTGGTTTGTGCCTGATTCTCTTCCTACATTTATTGCAAATAAAATTTTATTTCTAATATTTTAATTTTTGGTCCATAGCTATAACAATTAATTTCTAATCTCTATTCTACAAAAAGCCACTTGGAATCAAATTAGGTATATTTAAAAATATCTGTTGAAACCACTTGGAGTAGCTAAATATACAGCTCTAGGCAGCATTACTGAGTGTTTCCATCATGATGATTGAGCAACAGACTAGGTAAAGCTCCAAGTCACTCTGTCCTGTCTATGTCTAAGTGTTCTCATGTATAACATGAAGGGTTTGGGGGAAACATATTCTAAGCTTTCAACAGTTTTAAAATGTTGTGACAGTAAAAGTGATTTTGTGATTTGGTGAATCATGGTTAAGTTATTTCAGGAGAGACAACTTTTTAAAGTGTTTCTGTGACTGTGATTTGTCTAGAAAAAAGGACAAAGGTATATTGCCTTTGTTTGTTTGTTTGTTTGTTTGTTTCATTGATTGATTCCCTCAAATTGATCTGTGTTCAACTTACTAGAGAAGAGTATTGTCCAAAGGAACAATGATTTTTTCATGGCAATTTTGCTTTCAGAGAGAAGTTGCAGTTTTAGAGTCTGTACTTGATGCCAATAGAACTTTAGTTCTTAGCCAGATAGCAGTAAATTTTCTTCAGAATGTTTCTTTCTAATTATAAAGGTTGAGAAGGACTTTAAAGCCAAGGTTATGCTTGCTATATTGATCAAGGAAACCAGAATGGGTGAACAACAACCTTTTCCATGTACATAGTTTGGATTTTGCTAAGTGGAACATCTGAACAGAATAGACTATAGACTGAAGAAAAACCCCAATAAAGAACCATAAACAAGAAAAAAAAGAATGAAAAAATGTTTTAGACATATCATATAAATATCAAGCTAAAACACTATCAAAGAGGTGCTGTAAAAGGCTAGATGTCGTATAGTACAATAAAACTATTTTTACTATGTGATCCAACGTTTGTTTCAATAATTATTCTGTGCTCAGTCAATTTCTTTGGTAAGTCATCTCACCTGCATGTCTCAAGGTTTTAATGTAATTTATCTACTTCTTTCAAGGGTTTGAGGACAGGAAGATTTTCTCCACTTCTGAAACTCTTTGAACTTCCTTCCTTATGATATTTCTCACTATCTATAGTCAAATAAGCGAGAACAAAGAGAAAAATTCACCCACTCTTCCCCATTAGTATGATGACCTACTCATCATCTTCATGAAATCGTCATTAGACTAATATTTTACAGTTTATTACCATCACCTTATTAATGGAACCTAATAAATTTCTTTTTCTTTGTAGGACTAAAACTGTCTTATATCAGCAATTCCAAACAATTCAGTGTAAGTATATTATTACATAAAAAAGTAGATTATTATAAAAACCAGATGATAGTACACAGGAATATCTATACTATGCTGATTTCTAAGACATTTTCTTCATCTATACCTAGAGTCACAAATTCAAATGAGATGCAGCAGATAAAGTAAAAGTAAAGAGGTGGCTGGACATAAGAACTAAGGGTGATATAGAGAAAAAGGTGAACTGAAGGATCCATGTTTATCCAAAATTGATTCAATTCCTTAAAAACGTAAAGCAAGAGGGAAGTCAGAAAAATGGCGGAGTGAGAGACATCCCCAGATATCTCCCCTTGAAACAACAATAAGCTGAACATCTAAAACTTAATAAAAACATCAAACTGCACACCAGCACGTCTGACTGTGGGATCTGTGCATAGGTCAGAACCCCGGGTATTGGGCAGTGGATTGGGAGAAATAAAGAAGCTGCCTCTCCCAGAAGGAGCTCCCTGTAGGAGGAGGTGGAGGGGAGAAGGTGCAGCAAGTTTCCTGAACAGCCCTGCCTGGGAGTGATGTGAGCTCTACTCAGCCCAAGGGAGTGCCCAAGGTTCAGGGCAGAAAGCAAGGAAGTGGGGATGAAAGAGAAGCGGGGATGGTAGAGAAACAACAGTTGATTTTTACCACCTGCTGTTGCAAACCAGGGTTGAGCCACAGCCCCCATCCCCCAATGAGAGGACCCCTACCCCCATATCCTCTAAGATGAAACATCACAGAGCCCCAGGGGAATCTGAGCAAACGCTACCAAAACTGTTACTAACACTGATAGGAAATGAGACTGAGGGTAGCAAGTGTGATTGAATATAAGAAAAAAAAGGCATTATTAAGACTTTACATAAAGCAGGGATCCAAGAGGCTTTGATGCCGCCTACTGGAAACCAAAAGAAAAATGCCTTATTTGTAACATGCTAAGAGGGACCTTTATATAATATCTTCTTTCTGGGAAAAAAGCAGAATACACTTCCATTAATGCCCAGGTGGAGAAATAGTCTATTAAACACCATGAACAACCAAGGTGATAAGGCAGCTCAGAAAGAAA